GCGCCCGGGCCCGGAGCGCAGGCGGCGAGGCCACCGCACCTGCCGAGCGCTCAGGCGGCCCGAGCAGCACCTCGCTATCCACCGCCTCACTCCCTTCTCCCCCCGCGCCGGGGCTCCCATGACGTCCGAGACCCCCGGCCGGCGACAATGACCACTTCCCTGCAAGATGGGCAGAGCGCCGCGGGCAGGGCGGCTGCTCGGGATTCGCCGCTGGCTGGCCAGGTGTGCAGCGCTGCCCAAGGGAGGGGCGACGCCCGCGACCTGGCGCCGGCCCCCTGGCTGCACGCACGGGCGCTCCTGCCCCCTCCGGACGGGACCCGCGGTTGTGCTGCGGACAGGTAGGCAGCCCTCCGAGGGCGCGGGGGAGTGTCCTGGCTTGGCAGCCGGCGAAGGGGTAGGAGGCGGTCCTAGGGGGTGAGCCATGTGCCCAGAGCTGGGCCAAGTTTGTGAAAGTCTCTGAAGACAATTCCCTTTGAGCTGGTTCCTACCGGATCAGCAGGACATTGCGATCTCACAGCGCCTTATAAATAGCATCACCGCTTCATTGAGAGCTCTGGGTCGCTCCCTTGCCTCTGACCATCGGTGTGAATTAGGAGGCCACGCTCAGGGTCGACCACCCCCTTCTACTTTTCTTCTTCGTGCCCCTACCAGTTTTTTAAAAAGCAATCTTTTTTATTTTATTTTTTTTTTATAAAAATCTTTGCATAAATGAGTTCACCTCCCACATAGAGTCTTACAACGACCCAGGAGAAGCAAAGCACTGGATTGACATTTGAGCAGCCTTGCTGTTCAGCAGGGAAGAAAAGAGGCTTTAAAGGTTTCCCACTCTCCATAGCACTAAGTGCCTTCAGAGTTCACAGTTTTGCACATACTTTAGGAGAAAAAAAGACCTCTCAATAATACAGAAATCCTGAGTCTTTATCTTCATAATTTAAATGGTACATTTCCCACCCTTCACATTTCCAAAGTACTCCAACTTCACTGCAGTTAAAATTACTCTTTAGTGGACTAGAAAGTACATTTATACTAGCGAGTTCTATTAACTTAGCTCCATAAAACATTGCCCTGCTGTTTAGTATCTATATGCCTTGAAAGAAATCAACAGACTGTGTGTGGGCAACATTGTGAATGAAATTTGAAATTTGAAGTGAGATGAACCACAGCTATAATTAAGAAATCATAACTTCCAAAAGTGATTAGTAAAATATCAGAGGGATGAATTACCTAAGTGAAACTTCCAGACTTTTCTATTTTTGTGGGTGCTTAACAATGTGTGTTCTTCAGTGATTTTTTTTTTTGTATTAACTGTGTAGTTAATATTTTTAACTCAAGAGAAATTATTGAAAGTGCTAGAAATGAGATTTCACTAGCCAATACTGAAAGTTTAAAAAGGGGGTGAAGGATATTATAAAAGACTTTTATTGTATCAATTAATCTTTTAATTTGACCAACAGAAAGTACTTTCCAGACCTTTTCGGTAGACTTTTATATAACTTTAGTGCTGTCACTGAGCTGTACATGTTGGCCTTAACACACTTTTTAATCCTGACAGCAATTATATTTTACATTCTGTTTTATGTAAATTACATCCTATGTTCTCTTTGGTGTAGGAGAAAAAAGAAAGATCTCGATGTTCTGGAAATGCCTTCTATTCCAAACCCTTTTCCTGAGCTGTGCTGTTCTCCATTTACATCTGTGTTGTCAGCAGGCCTGTTTCCCAAAGGGAATTCAAGGAAAAAACAGGTATGCATTTTAAAATTATCTCATTAAAATATTTTGTTATTATTAGATGCTGGTGAGTCCTTTCCAAGACCCCAGGTACACAGGAACACTGGCTAGTACCATGCAAGCCTCACAATTGCTGCCACTGTATTGGAGCCATTGCTGCAGCCACTGTGCCTTGTGACTTATGGAGGGTCATCTTTTTGTTGGCCCACCAGCTGCATAAATCATTCCTTTACAAAAGTTACTATCCCCAGGAAAATGAAGAGTGGTCACTTGAATAATATCTTCTAGTAGGGTCCGACTTCTATCCCACCTTAATCCTATCTCCATAATTTACTAACTCACTCATCCTTGAATGAGGTCTTAAGACTCTAAAGAAGCCAGTATCACAAAATCGAAGGCTGTGGACAGAAGTGCTGTAGTACTTAATTCATTGCACCACACAAGCACGATGTGTTACGCATACAATCTTTAAACAACATCCAGGAAGGATTAGAGTGATTTATATTAAATCATGCTGTTTACTAACATAATGCATTGACATCAATTTTCTTGGTTTCGTCATCACGTAAAGTTGTTGTTATGTGCCTTCAAGTTAGAACTGATTCCTAACAGACCCTCCAGCAGATTTTCAGAGGCTGTACATTGCACACTCATCTTTCTCCTGCAGAGTAACTGGTGGATTTGAACCTCATACCTTTGAATAGGCAATGAAGTTAACCACTAACTAGGCCGCCAGAGCTCCCTCTATATATTGTAGATGTTAAAATTGAACTTTTAGATTTTGAAGATGGGTACAGGGAGATAATACAGGTAAAACAAAATTCTTGCAAACTATTATCATTCACAGGGTAGGAGGGAGCATTATACATAATAATAGAGAATGAATTTTAAGTCAGGAATTGGGAGTTCAGAGTTAGTTGGTGAGTAGGGCATCAGCTGATTCCTTTAATACTTTTCTATCAACAGTTATCCACAGAAACAAGACTAATAGATGTATAGAGATAATAAAAGGAGAAAGAGTAAAAGAGAGAGAGAGACACTAATTTATTTTAAGCAAATTAGCTCATGTGATTCTGGCAAACCCAGAATTCGTAAGACAGGCAACAGGCTGGGAATTCTAGAAGTCTGTATCTGAAATCAGTAGTAGACCAGGTGGTGAGATGGAAACCGTTAAGATGTCTCTGTAACAACCTTGAAGAATTCATTCTTCTTCTGATGGATCTCAGTTTTTGCTGCTAAGGCCTTCATCTGACTAGATGCAGACCCTCCACATTATCCTGGCTAATCACATCAACAAAATACCTACCCTGAAACAGTTTGGTGTTAGACTGATTGGTATAGACTGAACTACTAGGCATCATAATCTAGTCAAGCTGATACATACAGTTAACCAACATAATCTTCAATCTTTGACATTTCCAACCCAAGCCAACTTGACTTGTAAAGGGATAATTCCAAGAAGTGGAATAGCTGGGTCACATGGAGTTTCTATGTTCAGCTTTTTAAGGAAATGCCAAATGGGCTTCCAGAGTGGTTATACCAATTTATAATCCCACCAACAGTGTATGAGAATTCCTATCTCTTCGCATCCTCACCAATTTTTATTGCTTGCTGAGTTGGACTTTGTTTTTATTATTTCCTTTCTTTTTTAAGTTTCTGGTTTCGACACTGACATACTTTAGATTTCAAGGGGGAAAAGAACCTGAACATCTTGTGGGTGGGGGTATAGTGTATTCTAGAATGACCCATATCTCCTTACACTTTTTCTCAGTCTTCAATTAGCAAAACAAAAAGTGGCTTCCCTAGGCAGTATGCCCCTTGCTCTTATAAAAGCAATGCATTTAAACAGCCAGATGCACATTGTGAGGAGGAGGATAATGAGCTCAGAGGGAGAAAACAGTGGGTCATCTCCTGTCCTCACATCTGTTCTCTTTTTTTTCCTGCAACTCTGTTACCTCCCTAGTGTGAGTGTGGTGTGTCTTTATAGTTTTAAGAGTAGAAAAAATGCCGAAGGAAAAAAAAATAAATCTTGACAGCATACATTAATAACCGGGGCAAGTAAGTACACATTGTGCTTTGATGGAAAGCTGATATTGCAAGGCAGATGCGCTTTTTGAGGGAACTCTGGTGGCCTATTGGTAAAAGGCTATGCTGCAATCTCAAGGGCACATGGTTTGAATCCACCAGCTGCTTTATGGAGAAGGATGAGTTGTCACCTCCTGTATGATTTACTGCCTCTGAAAACCCGCTGGACAGTCAGCTGTGAGTCCGTTCCAACTTGTTGACACACTTCAACAACATACTTTTGGGGGAGGGAATAGGTTTGATGTCTACTTGGTGCATGTATTTTAAATGAGGATTGGAAAAAGTAGAAGTCAATCTACCAAGGACAAAGGTATGTGCTAAGTCAGAGTCTGGATTGGTGGAGGCAAGGCCTTACATGGATGGAGCTCTGCCTTAGCATGAGGGAATGACAATGGGGAGATTCTCTTGAGAAATTTCTTTTTAAGATGAGCTCCTGAATCAGGTCCTAAGAGAAAAACAATCCTGGTAATATTTCCAGGCCTTTCAAGACTTTGGTCTCAGGTTAGGCTAAGACATGGGAATAGGATGGTTGATTTGATTGTGTGTGCTGGTGGTGAATAAAATAAGTTCTGGACTGCACAATATGTTATTTGGGGATTTTAATGGATTATGTCCATATTTATGGAGGGCTTACTGTGTTTCTCAAGCCATCCTAGGCACTGAGACAGAAATTAATCAAAGATGGTATCTGAGGAATATTTTATTTGGAATTAGGTTGAGACAAGATGATGAAAGGAGGAAGAGGGGTAAAAGAGAGAGGTTTAGGCTGACCTTGACTTTGATTTGGTAAACGAGCACTAGGAGAATCTCATGATCCAGGGACTTCATGATAGGGCAGGACTTGTTTGGAGTACAGAGAGAGTGTAAGTGTGGGTATGATTGTTAGGTGCCGTCCAGCCATCTCTGACTCATAGTGACCCTGTGTGGAACAGATCAAAGCCTCTCCAGGCCCTGGGCCATGCTCACTGTGTCTACTGTGCCTGAGCTCATGGTTGCAGTCACTATGTGAGTCTGTTTCCTGGAGGGTGGAAGAAAGAGAGTGGGAGTGGGTGAGGTGTCAGGAAGGGTGAGGAGAGTAACACACCTTTTCTTAGGCAATGGCGATGTGTCTTCAGATCCGGTTTGGTAAATGGGTAAAATGGGAAAGGATAAGTGGCTGTTGCCTCTAAACAGGTTTCTGATCCTGGCCTGATATCCTGGTTCCACTGTGAACTGGGTGAGCTCTGCTCCTACACAGTCTGCTGTGCTATTTAACCAGCAGAGAGTTCTGGCCTGACTCCTGGGGACCAATCCCAGAGGAGGAGTGTTCGTACCTTACAAGGCCTGTTCCTGCTCAACTCTTCTTTAGCCCGAGGGTTGGAGTCTGTGAAGAGAAGGGTATTTTAAAGTGGGGGAAGAGGACACTTCTTTAAAAATGCTTTTGGGTTTCCTTTAAGCTCCACCTTTTCCTAGCATTGAGAACTGGTCCTTTTGTTCTTAATTCCTCCGTACAGACACACTCAATTCTCTGGAGTGAGGTTTTGCAAAATGATAACTCTCATCAGTAATTTCCTCAAGACCAGTGCCTTTTGACACAAATTACCCTCTTAGAAGATGGTACTTTTGCCCAAATCATCCCTAATCTTTGGTTGTGATGATATACATGACAATATGGGATGGATTCTACTGAGTATTACTTATGGTTGAAATGTTATAGGAGACGATGTTTCTTTTTATATTTTCCCCTTTTTTATAAAAACCCAATGACTTTAGCAATTCTTTATTTTCTATAAAAAAGTGAAGAATTGCATTTGTTATTTACAAATAAATGACTAGAAAGTCTGAAAGAATGCAGACAAGAAATGTTAAATTGCATCTGGCCTTTGAGAATCACAGTCAAAACTTGTCTTACAGGCCATAATTTTTTTTTCTTACAATTTGAGATGCCTACATAATGCATGAGTGGCAAAGTGCATTGAAGCCACAAATAAGATATGCTTAGGTCTTTTTGCAAATAAAATGACTCCAAGTATACGATGCTCTAGGCTTTTAGTGTTTTTATTTTCAAATAAAAACTCGAAAGAGATAGAAATGAGATTCTTGCCTCTCAGTTCCTCTTTTTTATAATGCTGGCTAGAGAGATATTTTTAGGTGCTTTGTGCATACCTGCAAAGCAGATGTAAAATATACCTTTATAGTTGGTTCAGAAAGGTTACTAACAATGTGAATATTATTTTGCAAGTGCCTTACCTTGAATTTAATGAATCTTGTTTCATTATTTTTCTTTTTAAAATTCTAGTTGAAATTTTGGAAACAGGAGTGGCATTAACTCCCTAAATAACATGCCTCCGGAAAGTCTATGAACTTTGATAAATGTCGATAGTTGTAGAGGGGCTTCAGGCTTTTTGTTCATGGGGTCGCCAACAACAGTTGGAATGAATCAGGAAATAATTCCTTAGCAATGAACCTTAAAAACCTGTTTTGAAGAAAAGGTAAGAGGCTGTTAGTCCCTGTAGTAGCTTTAGTTCTTACAGAAAGCTTATCTGCCCCTAGGTAATTTTTGTGCTTGGAAACAGCTGTGTAGGAGCTCTGGTTAATTGCTTCCCAAGACTCAGGATAAACTTACTGAAGGTTTTAGAGATGAACTCAAGTAAAACTGTCTATGTGGAGTGGTCAAGCTGAAGAGCTCTTTGAAGTCAACTAGTCTAATATTCTTCTTTTACTGAAAAGTTAGTTGAGTCTAGGAGTCTTTGTGCAGTGCGTGGAGTTAATCACTTAGCTACTAATCCAGAGGGTGGTAGTTTGAACCTGCTCAGAGACACCTTATAAAAGAGGCTTGGCAACCTGCTTTTTAGAGGTCACAGGAATTAAAATCTGATTTAACAGTCTACTCAGAAGCTCAAGGGTTTTCCTTGGGTCAGAATCAACATACAGGAACTGGTTTGGTTATG